TCTCTTCAGTGTACTCTCCTGACAGAAAACTCTTTCCTCCTGCCACGTCTCTTCAGTGTACTCTCCTGACAGAAAACTCCTTCCTCCTGCCACGTCTCTTCAGTGTACTCTCCTGACAGAAAACTCCTTCCTCCTGCCACGTCTCTTCAGTGTACTCTCCTGACAGAAAACAACTCCTGCCACGTCTCTTCAGTGTACTCTCCTGACAGAAAACTCCTGCCACGTCTCTTCAGTGTACTCTCCTGACAGAAAACTCCTTCCTCCTGCCACGTCTTTTCAGTGTACTCTCCTGACAGAAATCTCCTTCCTCCTGCCACGTCTCTTCAGTGTACTCTTCTGACAGAAAACTCCTTCCTCCTACTACGTCTCTTTAGCGTACTCTCCTGACAAAGCTTAACATCACGGCAGCTATGAAGGAAAAATATTTCAAGGGCCCAGATCCATTTTCCCAGAGAAGGCTATAGAGGATGAATTTGGAGTGAAGGGGCAATAAATTTATAACTGCATGAAGAGGGAAAGCATTCCGGAAGTAGTTTGTATAATATGAGCAAAGTTATAGGAGCAAAAAAGCATAGGGACACTGAGGTGATGAGAAGGCGGGACAGACTCCGGTGCAAGGTCAGTGTAAAGTGCTAAGAGGAGGAAAGGCTAAAAGGGTACTGTGAGTCTTGACTCTGGGGTTTGAGTGAGCGGAATGTAGTGAAAGAGAAGGATAGACCAGTGAAGTTTTGAGATTTGAGATTTGGTGCTATCAGTAGACAGGAAGGCTGACGCAGAGATGGAGGAGTGATAGACATAATTTGGACCAAAATTTTTGCAAACACTTAGATTATTCTGAAAATTGTTCATGAGGTTATCTTATATTCTGATTTTGTTCCATCTACTCATTTCATAATTTATTTCATAATTATATAGTAATTTCATAATACATAAAAATACACATATAGAACTTAAGGACAGGAGAGGAGTAACAAAAGAAGGAAATAAGAGACCGTGTGGTGTTCACTGGCCCTCTTACTGTTCTGCTGGGGAGAAGCAAGGGCAAGGCATAACCTCTGCACTTTTTTCACCAGTCTTCCCCAAGGGAAGGAAGAGAGAACTGTCAGTGGTAGTGCACAGAGCTGAAAGAGAATTGCAGCAGAGGCAAAGTATACATTATACTAATGCATGGTCATTGTCGACTTAGACGTGAGAGGACAACTATGAGAAAGGCTAATCTGATTCGATTCAAACCCCCTCTACAGTGTTATTTTGCCAAAAATATGTCTCCCAGTTTCTAACTACTCTTGTGGTTTGTTTTAATTTATCTTTCAATCTCTAATCCAGAATAGCTGAATAGTGTTCTATCTGCCTTATGTCTCTATGGCATTTCCTTCAAGGTATATTGAAATTTGCTCTTTTTTATTGTCTTTGGTTCATGGTTTTACATTTTACTGACTTTTCATATTGATTTTCTCCCCTCATTTAGAAATGGACTCAAAACTCAAAGAAGACGTCCCGGTGCAGGATGAATTTGTTTTGTGTGGTGGAGTTGAAACGCAGGTTCTAAAATGTGGGCCGTGGACTGACTTCTTTAATGATCAGAGTGTCAGCAGACCCAAACTGCTGATTTTTATTATTCCTGGTAAGTGTGAAGGTCTGAGTGAGGAGACTTTACACAGACACTCAGACCTATATCTGATGGTAAAACTACTATTATGGGTTAATTATACAGAATTTGGTAAATATGGAAAACCTAATGAAAGGAAATAAAAATTGCTTGACCCATTGATAACAACCACCTTTAATATTTTGATGGCTTGTCTCTCTTGTTCTTCCCTGTGTTTATATTATGTATATTTTGTTGGCTGTTCTACATATGCGTGTATATATCACAATTGGAAGTATACCATGTAGAAAGTTTTGTAATGTGCTTTTTAAAAAAAAAATTCTTAATATTTAGAAATCTATCAAGGTTTTTGAAGGTTTCCTAAATTTATTTTCTACCTCATTTCAAGATGATTATATGTTTATTTAAGAGCTTTATTCTGAGATTTGGCAACTGGGTCACTTTGGACTTTTGCGAGATCACTGTCCGCAGAGTACTGGGGTAGATGCTTGTTTGATTGCATGTATTTGAAGTACTTTTTAAATTGTAAGTTTGAACATATATGTTTATAATCCATTCAGGGTTCTTATCCTGTGAACTCTCGGTTTGAAACCCTTGCCTGTTTTTTGGTTGTATTATCCATGTTTTTCTTAATGATTTGTAAAAGCTTTTTATTTTAAAGTAAAATTGTTTTGTCTATCGTATATGGCAAGAATCTTTTCTGGTTTGTCTTTTGATGTCATTTACAATGTTCATTTGGTTGTACAGAAAGTGTCATGGTTAGGTGGCCAAAATAATCAGTCTCTTCCTTAAAGACTTCTAGGTATTACGACTTTCTTAGAAATGCCTTCTCTATTCCAAGATTACGAAATATAGTAGAACCACCATGGTTAACAACCTCCCTACATTGACCACCTCTTTAAGTTGGCCTCGTTTCATAGACCAGGCATGCATCACATGTACTCAATGGAAGTTCCTTCTGGTGACCACCTCCATATGTTGACCAGTTTGTTATAGACCTTTGGGTGGTCAACTTACAAAGGTTCTACTGTAATCTTTTCTTTTTTCTGCCTTGTCTTCTAGTGATTTTAGTTTCATTTGTAATCTTTACATTTAAAGGATCTAGAATTTAAGGTCAGGAACTGAGGAAGGAATCTAGTTTTCTTCTCCCTTTCCTTAGATGGGTTACTGCTTAAACCACAAGTATTTATTTATAATCGGTCTTTTCCCTACTGACTTGTAGCGTTCATTTAAAATGCTGAGAGTCTCTTTCAGTACTTTTTGTGTCTTCCCGTGTTCTTTATGTTTTGTGATTGAATGATTAATTGACTGAGACAGAATCTCATCTGTCCCTAAGTCAGAAGTACACTGGCATGAACATAGCTCACTATAGCCTTGAACTCTTGGGCATAAGCAATCCTCCTGTCTCAGCCTGGTGGTAAATGGGCCTCTAGTTGCATATAACTGTGCCTGACTATTTTTTTTTTAATTTTTTGTGGAGGTGGGGTCTCACTGTCCAGACTGGTCTTGAATTACTGGCTTCAAATGATTCTCCTGACTCAGCCTCCGAAAGTATTAGGATTATAGGTGTGAACCACTAGACCTGGTTGGTGTTTTTTAAAAGATACAATTTCATGATATTTTTGTGTATCTTTTAGAACCTTCCCTGGCTCACTTTTATTCTTTTCCAGCATATTTTTGGCCTCTCTTCTTTTGCCTTCACAGTATTTTTTTTTATTTTGCTTCATTAGGAGAAAAAAAAAAAACATTGTATGATGTTTAAAGTCAATTTTTGTAATTCCAACTAATATTCTCAGAGGCAAACACTTTCAGTAGGGTTATTCCTCTGATATTTAGTCCACATTTCTAAATGAAACACTTACACTGATCTTTCTTGAATTTTCAATATTAGACATTTATCTATTGACTTCCTCCATGAAAGAAAAGGATTAGCTTTCTTAGACATTCCCTTCTCAGTGAACAAGCATGCGCCCTTTCTTTCCAATCTTCCTAGTGTATATAGATTATACTAGAGTTTTTGGTTAGATCAGTATTCATTTCTTTTGTTATCATGACATTATCTTATATTACATTATAGCCAAGCTGGTTGGGAATTATGCTTACATTTTCTTTCTTACATATTTTTGTTTGCTTTCCTTGGGTTAAAGTTAATTATTAGTTTGGATATTTTGTTTGTTTTTGCTTAGTTTTCTTATTTATCCTGGAATTGTTTTCTAGAAGTGAAAAAGTCCTCTCAATGCATTTGAATAATTAGTTTCTTTTTGTCTTGGAGCTCTCCCTCCAGACCGCTCTGGTCTTGGGCGATAGCCTGGACTGATTGCTCTCCAGGCCTGCTCATAGCTGCCATCCTAGGGATTCCTGTCACTTTCTCCTGGATCCTGTGTTCTTGTCTTTCTTAATTTATTCCCTTGTTTTTGGTGGAGCACATCTAACAGTCTCCTGAGAAGAGATACAAGAGAAGTAATCTTTTAAAGATACAGCATGTTAAAAAATGTCTTATTAGACTTTTAGGTTAGAAATAATTTTTTCTTATAATTTGTAGAGCATTAATCATTGTTTTCAGGGTTCAGAGCTCCTTATGAGAAGCCTGGGTGTCATTCTGATTTTTGATCTTTTGTAACTGAAGTTTCCTCTACACCCCTTTGGAATCCTTTGGAACCCTTTCCTTTGTTCTATGACTCTGAAATTTTTCAGTGAAGCACCTTTGTGTGTTTTTTTCATACATTGTTCTTGGGGTTTGGTGGACCCTTTTAAACCAGAAAATCATGTACTTCAATTCTAAGAGCTATTTTTTTTCCTCTTCTCATTTTTATAGTCTGCTGTTTAACGGATGCAGTGTCATTTTCTTTGGCTTCTTGTATTTGTAGGAGTTTTCATTGTGTTCCTTTTTCTGTTGGTTTGCAATAGTGTTCATTTTTCCTCAAATGTCTGGTAATCCTTCATTATCTATTCATTTTAGAGAAGACACGACAGATGGAAAGCTTTGTATTCAGGAGTGGGGCTTGTCCACAGGTGTGCCTAGAGTGATCAGCCATTTTGGTTGGCTTAGACTATAGGGACTTTTAAGACATGTGACTTTCTGTACTAAAACTGGCAGTCCCGGGCAAAACAGGGTGGTTAGGCATCCTAGCTGAGTCTCATCCTAAGGTGATGGGAGCGGAATCCATCATTTCATTAGGGAATTTCCAGCTTTCAATATCTGAAGCTCTTTCTTGGATTGTTCAGTTTTCCCAGGTCTCTTGTTGAAAATTAGAAGCCTGTCTGTAAATGTTCAGAGCAGAACAGGAGAGAGGGAATTTTAGTGTTTAGTTACACTTAATCTAAGCTCTTCTCAATGTGGTACTTCTATTCTTAGCTGGACTAAAATTCCTCCTCCAAAATTGCTCTTTATTTTAACCTTTTCTGGGAATAAACCTCAAGTCTTCTGCCCAGATATAACAGTCTTTGTTGAAATCAATCTGGCATTATCTATTAACATTAAAAATACATGTAATCTGCCAATAGTTAGGAGAATTTGAAATTGTAGGTGTGTCAAAGTGAGATTTGGAAGCCACTGGATAAAATAGGATAGAGAAAATAAGTAGAAAAATTATCTTGGACTAGAAAACAGGTATGCCTTTGAGATTAGGAAGAAAAAGGTGAAGTTGTTTACTAAAACAGAGATGAGGAAGGCATTTCAGAGGGTAGTGAAGTAGTTCCTGCCTCCTGACTTCTGTTTTCTCTGTTAAGAGTTGAGGTGGTTTGTTGAGAGTGAGGAAGCTGAAGGGTGCGTAGGGACCTTGAGGAAAGCGGTCAGCACTGAGAGCAGTAGGTACACAGGATTAAAAAAAAGACAGTTGTCCACCAAAAACAAGTAGATGCATTTTAGGGAAGCTCTGTAATTGAATAGCAAGCTTATTGGGACAATGTCTAAAAGAGCAGGTACTTGAACTAGAAAAGGCCTATCAGAATTAGGATGCTCTGAATGTTAACTATTTCTCGTTATTGAAAAGATGTAGGCCTATGGTTCTGAAAGTTGGTGTCAGGACCAGGAATATCATCTAGAACTTTAGTTATAAATGCAAGTTCGTAGGCTTTATCTCTGGCCTTCTGAACCAGAAAGTCAGGGGGTTGGGCAATCAGTTTTAATAAGCTCTCCAAGGGATTATGATAGTCACACCTAATCTAGGTGTTGCCATAGGAATTAGTTGCTTAAGTTTAACATAGGTGAAGTTCATTAGATTTGGTCCCAGCAATGAATTGTGGAATAAAGGTGTTGGCTTCATAACTCCAACTGGATTTTGAAATCTCCTAAGATGTTGTGTCGCAAGTGCACTTAAGAGTCAGAGTTTTCAGGGAATGTGAAGCAAGTAAAAAATTGATAGATGGGAGTGCAAGTTTGAGTCTTAAAAGGATGAGAGGTAAAATAGTAAGAGGAGAAGACAGCCCATTCTATTTCTCTACCTAGAGGTTTTCATTACTCACTCATTGCGTAGCTACTACAAATATTTCACTGCAAAATCTTTGCTTTCTTTGAGTATACAAGGTGTTAGAGAACAGTGAGCTCTAGGAAAAGGCTTGAAAGGACAGGAGTCCATGGCAGGGGAGAGCCATGTTTCAGAGATGATGAGGAGATAGAGGCAGTAGGGATGGAGAGAACCTTGAAACATTCATTTTATAATTGCCATCGTGTATAGTGCTGTGACATGTTCAGAACACATTTCATTTCTAAGTCCTTTTATGTTATATGTTTGCCCTTCTGTTCTCATTGCTGCACTTGGCTCTTCTCTTTAAATTCCTAAGATCTATAGTCCGGTGCCACTCATCAGTTTTGGAATGAAGAATTGCATTTTATTTGCGGGGTGGGGAGTGTTGGGTGATGTTCTTTCTCGCGGGGAAAGAAGGACGGCTTGGCCGCGGGTGCAAGCTCGCTCCTAGAATTGTTTAAATGCAAGAAACGACTACACACTCTTAGGTGGCATGTAGCAAAATGTCTTTATTCTCTGCTTCCTTTTATTGGGAGCTAGTCACGTACA